AGGGCAGTATATTCTCCTCTCTCCTTCTCTCATTTCTCTCGACGTGTATCAGGTGCGTTTCTCTCATTTCACCATTACACGAATTTAAAGTTTCTCAAGCGTGGGTCTGTAGAGGGCAGCACATGGACGTACACACGGGAGCGTAATACCCATTGGCTCAGTATTATGTAGTGATCGGGAGTGATCGCCAAGTTACCTACTTCACGAACGACTATATACCCACGTATGAACATCTTTAATGTTGTTTTGGAGTTATTTCTATTTTGCGCCCCCTCCAGGCACAACGGAGCAATTTTTGAAATTGGACGTTCGTAGTCACTCAACTTGGTAGAAATTAGTGGTGACAACAGGTATGGTAGTTGGATAGGCGGGCACATCTACAGAGGGGGGGGGGGGGGGGTGGGGTGGGGGAGGGGGAGGTGATGTTTAGCCCACATAAAACACGTACAATCCACAGACAAGCAGTGACAAAAATTTGAAGTGATATTTGTGAAACTCATTTGTATATTAGAAGCTTTATATTATCATCCTTTACATCTAGGAGATTCAATATACAACATTATTTGTATGGCTTATTACCTTCCCCTCTCCTCGGGCAGATGTAGAGGTAGACGGGCACATCTACAGGAAGGCGATGTTTTGCCCACATAAAACACGTACAATCCAAATAAAAACAGTGACAAAAAAGTTGAATTGATATTTGTGAAACTCATTTGTATATTAGGAAGCTTTAATTCATCCTTTACATCTAGGATATTCAATATTGTGGAGTTTCAAGATGGTTTGCTGTCTTTTTTAGAACGTGTTAAAGTTGATAAAAAAGTTATGTTTTTAATGGGTGATTTTTATATTCATATTCATAACCCCGGTATAAGTGCTGAAATGTTTCTCACTTCCTTGATGTGTCTGGGAATGCAGCAATTGATAAAGTCTCTTACTATAGGGTAACATCCTTGTCAGGTTCTTTGATTGATCATATTTATACAAATTTATTTATTTATTTATTCAAATTTTATTTAAAATAGAGGGTAGGTACATTCAGTTTAACAAAACTGATTTCCAAGTACGCCCTCTATATCGGTAAAAATCGCATATGTGCTGGAACAATTTTAACTGACATTTCATTTTCATCTCCCTATTTTTGCTATTTATGAAAATTAATGAATTAAATCACAACCACAGGGAGAGTAACCATAAAGAAGCTATAAACAATACGAAAAAGACATGTTTTGTGATAGTTTACTCACAGAATCCTGGGAAAGTGTATTATGAATGTACTGATGTAATAAGGCGTAGGCCTATATTAAACATATATTTGTACAAATATTATGTATGTGCGATATACATACTCCGAATGTTCATCGGCACTCTTCTAGAAGAAAATATGATGGGCCATGGATAACCAGACCTATTAAGAAGTCAATTGTTATAGAAAACATAAATTGTTTGGTAAATAATAAAATCAAACTATACTGAAAACAACTTGAAAAGATATAAGACATAAAGAAATACTTTAACCACAATTTTGAGGAATGCAAAGAAAAAATATTATAGTGATTTATTTGAAATGTATAAATGTGATACAACACAAACATGAAAATCAATTGATCAATTATTGAAGAGTGGGAATAATAAAGAAAAATTGTCGCATGTAGAAAAATCCTGTGTTGATATTAATGATAATAAGAAAGTTGTAACTTCAAGGAAAGAAATAGCAGAAGGCTGTAATGAGTTTTTGTGAATGTCGGGCCTAACCTAATCGATTGTAATTTTGATAATAATAGCACATTTAAAGATTACCTTAGTAATGAAGGAACAAACACTTTGTTTCGGGAGCCAATTACATATTTTGAGATTAAGGACCATTTATTAACTTTGAATATAAAGAAAGCATGTGGTTTTGATGATATTCCTGCTCGATTGCTGAAGAATGCTGCTGATTTAATTGCAAGACCATTTATTATATTTCAACTTATCATTATTGTTGGGTCTGGTTCCAGAGGCGATGAAAGTAGTTAAAGTAACACCTATTTTCAAAAAGAGAGTGAGAGAAATACCAGGTAATTACCGACCAATCTCAGAGTTGCCTCTTTTGGAAAAGGTATTTGAAAACTTGTAAATAAGAGGCTACCTGATTATTTTTAAAGAAACGTTGTCTTGTATAAGCACCAATATGGTTTTCGTAAACACTATAGTTCAAAGTTGTCGTTAATTCTTAGGTTAATGATGTAATAAAATCGTTGGAAAGGATAATATAAACCTAAGCGTATACCTAGATTTTTAGAAAGTTTGTGATACGATAGACCACACAATACTGGCTAGTAAACTAGGTCAGTGGTTTAAAGATTTATCTTCATGATTGACCCTCACTTTGTGAATTATGATGGATATGGCTCATTATGACAGATGACAACGTGTGGTGTTCCTCAGGACACAATGTTGGGACCTCAATCATTTTTAATTTATATAAGAAATTAAAAATGATTTGCCAAACTCGACAGATTATTTTAATTTTCGACTTTTTGCTGATGATTCTTACTTGTTTCATACATTTCCATTTATGTTTCATGTACTAGATATGGATGTAGTTAATATGCATCTCGATAAGGTGTCCACGTGGTGTAAAATGAATAAACTTACAGTAAATTTGTGAAAAAATTATTATTTACTTATAAGAGGGAGTAGATAACCAGCAGTAATTCAAGGCGTATCTTAAATTGTTTGCTCGCTCACATATGAATATTCAGACCATCAAACCCAACTGCAAAGTATGATGCTTAAAGGTAAAGACCAGTTATGGTCATGCGATTGCATTGTGAAAGAAACGTTGTGGAATCGATCAGAAAAGGTTGATCATCTAGTATCTAGCATCTGCAAGGTTCTGGAATCATCAAAATTATAAGAAATTTGGCCCATTCTTCGTAAAGTTACAAGCACTATACACAGAAAGATGTATATGGGACTACCCTATATATCTCACAGACCATGAGAGAAACAAATTTACCAAATATATGAATTAGTAGGCGGTTTCCCGGCAAAATTTTTATCATCATGTATTAGTCAAAACATATTCTTTCACATGATTGGTAATGAGAGCTTCCATTTCATTTTTTGAAATTGGGGCGTTTCCAATACTGGTCTTTACCTTTAAGCAGTATCTTGGAACCGGTCAAGAGTGACATAAATATTTAAATCATCAGTGATAATGTAATGTATAATCACAATGTACGTATATTCATATGAGTTTAAAAAAAAAATGATATTTCGCTATGAGGTTTTCCTTTGTAGGTGCCTCCCTTTTTTTTTAATAAACTGTCCATTTTTGGTGCCTCCTCCCCCACTTTGATAGACGTAGCTCCGCCGCCTCTGATCTGTAAAGATGGATTCAGAAGAAGCAGGAATAGGTGAAAATTGAGAAACTTGGAAAATTGGAGTAAATAATCATGGAACTGTCGTCCGTGTCTCTCTTTCAAATAAAAAAATAATAAATAACGAAAAATGTTTCGAGATAAGGTTATCAAAATGGATCGAAATAGCGAGTATTTCTAATCTCACTCCTGCCATAAATTCAAGTAACCAAAACCATCTCTGTTGACTTTTAGCACTGCATGTATCATCCGATAAAACAACTTGTTTTCTATCATTGAGAAGGAAAGTCAAATTCCGCTATTGACATGATAAACTCTTTCCTCCTCGATGCAAAGTGTTAAGAACGGTTTCTCTTCGAGTGTAACTGCTAAGAACCCACAAAGACTATGGACGCAGTAGCAGCCTTAACAGCCTTGGGGCAGTCTCTAGAAAACAAGCCCCGGCCTATAGTACCCCAAAACAAGAAGAAAAGGAACACCAAACAAGGGTAAACGAGACATTTAATAGGCTTCATCCAAGGTGAGGAAACTTCAGGAAGAGAACAAAAAGATGACGGAAATATAACTTTAGGGTCGCTAATGGGAAAAAAAAAAGAACTTACTTCTCTTCCCTCCTCTTTAGTTCCTTGACGAAAACGGGAAAATGAATGGTGTTTGGCCGCAAGGGGAAAACAACTCTAAAAATATTTTGCAGATAACTGTTAATTTCTCTTGTTGATCGATAAATCACCCTTTCTGTTTTTTGTTTTTTTTTGGAGGGGGGGGGGTCAGTTTTTGTTATCATTTATATTCTAATATGGGTGTTGTTTGTATCTAATTGTATTACAAATCTATATGAAAAATGCTAGAGAATAAAATAAAATCGGGGGAAAATTAACATGACAAGACATGAAAGAACATGTATTTATGCTGGAATTTAAAAAAAATAGAGGGAACGAAGGGCTTTATCTAAGTACAGAAAATAAGCTAACTAATGGGATAAATTAAGACGTAAACTTGTTGATAAAGACAGAGGGATTGAGAGTCGGAAAAGAAAGGGGGAGATAATAATTATAGAGCATGAACTAGGAGTAGGAGAGAGGAAGATAGATGGGTGGTTTGTAGAGGGTGTGTGTGAGAGAGAGAGAGAGAGAAATAAAGAGAGAGAGAAAAGGATGGAGAGGGGAGGGAGAGAGAGAGAGAGAGAGAGTAGTAAGAGTGAGAGAAAGAGAGGGAGAGGGAAAGGTAAGGGGTGAGAGAGGAAGAGGGGGGAGCTCAAGACAAAATACATTGAGGAAATGGAAAGGTTGACCAAAGATAGACATAATTTATTGATCATGCAGAAAGATATTGACTACGCAGTGTTGCATGTATATGGTGTCCTCGTGGGGGTAGGAAATAACTATACAGGTATAATAATTTGTCGACGGTATCCCTGGCTCTAGAAGTCTGCACGCTACGTCTTTAATTTAAAAAAAATGTACCATTATTGTTTACAGCAAAGTTAGTTTGTGATAGTTAGGTTAGTTTACCCAGCTAGTTTAGGGTGTCCAATCAAGTGACCGAAGTTGTCTCCACGTATTTATTTTAGCGTTCCTCTCCTCCAATAACATCACGTGTCGCCAGCGGTACACTCTTACGTAATCGAAAGAAAGGGCGACCCTGCCCACCTATACCTACCTCCCTGCAATGGCGGATCGGGGAGATGAGATGCGAAGATCCATTGGTATAAAGAAGACCAGTATACTCCACACCCCTCCCAATTACTCATCCCTGTAAACATACACGGTACGCCGGTTGACGCTTTCTCGCTTCAGCGCAACCAGACAGTCGACGTTTCGACCCCCTTCTTAAGTGACTGACCACTTGCTTTAATCACCTGAGCGCTCACCTCTTGTCTCACCACTCTCGCGTCCTCGCTCTACTGATCACAGGTGAGCCGTTTATGACCAGTCTGCCCGGCTCCCGACTCGCAGGGGAGGTCAACAGAAGTATAGTCACCACCTGCGACTGACCAGGAGGAGACTTATACGTGATACCACATTGGACTGAATTGTCACGAACGATTCGTCATCGACGTCGTCTGGCTACAGATTTCTCGAGGTTCAAGACTCCGTCATCGTTATTTAAACGCTTTCCTGAATCATCATTATGGTCATTTTGCATTGCATTATTTAAATGACTGCATTATCAGTATCGATATGGAATAGGTTTTGACATCGACAGAACTTAAAGGACAACTCTCAGTCTGCTGCAAAGAAAAAATTAAACGAGTTTTTATTTATGACATTTTTATTTCATTTTCAAAGAGAAAAGCTAAATGAACAAGAATTGCCTATCATTTTTGAAAGAAGTTGGATTTCTTTGATGTCAATCTCTTCGTACTCTCAGTAAGGATCTGATTCGTCCCAGTCCTGATCTCTGATCCAAGAATCGTCTTCACCAAATCTTATTTAAACATCGAATGTTGACCACGGAAAACACCATTATGGATGGCAAAAGTACTATTGATAAGATACCTATGTCTTATGAACGTCTTATTTCTGACTCTCACCACCGCTATCACAGTACAGAGATAACTGGAATATACGACAACGACAGCGGTTGTGATTACCGCATCAAATATGATGACGTGAAGACCGATAACGTCTTTTCTCAATCCAGCAAATCGAGCTCGATTTCGGAAACGAGCTCCGAGAATGAAGACTGTTACGATGGCGTTCGACGCGACTTCGATCGCGATGACGACTCGAGTACGACGTGTGCCAATGTTGGCAGCCCCGTGGTCAAAAGGCGTTTCGCCGACGTCAAGCCGCCCTATTCATACATCGCTTTGATCACGATGGCGTTGGAAGGCTCGAAAGACGGAATGATGACGTTGAACGAAGTTTACCAATTTATCATGGACAAGTTCCCGTACTTCAGAGAAAATCAACAACGATGGCAAAACTCGATTCGGCATAATTTATCGCTGAACGACTGTTTCATCAAAGTCCCTCGGGCACCTGGCCGCCCGGGGAAGGGTAACTATTGGGCTCTGCATCCATCGTGTGGCGATATGTTCAGCAATGGTAGTTTTTTACGACGTGCAAAGCGGTTTAAATTACACAAGAGTAAGAATGATCCGGCAGAAGTTCGTCACGTCAACTCCTACGGTCATTTCAACCTCTGTAGCGCTTATCTCGGGTCTCCTCATCCTTCTCAATATGCAAGACGGCATCATCCATATGCGCCAATTTCATCACCGCATCCCGTTCACCAAGCAGCCCATGATGTAGCCGACGTCCCGTGGTCGACAGCGGCACCAACCAGTCTTTACCCGTCATCGTTGGCGGCGTTGTACAACTCGTCGTTGAACCCATATTTGCCCGTCAGTGCACTTTCGTCACCTCTCCTCTCAGGGCATCTCTCCGCCGGTGCTACGGCGGTACCCCCAGGGTACGCTTCGATTCTTGATCGAAGCCCATACAGCTCTCAGGCGGCAGCAGCACATTACCTTCATTTTAATCGAAAGTTAGCTTTATGATGAAGCTTGATTTGCGTGAACAACAAGCTTTTATGACGTATTCCCCGACTTGAATACCGACATTCTCCAGATACAAATTATGATATGATTCGACATTAACTTTACTTTCGGAATTTCAATATCATTCATCAACAATATCAAATTAATTAGGAGATATCGAAATCCCATTCGGTGGATCACTCTGTCTTCTTCAGTAATAATTGGCCTAAGAAAAGGCTAGATAAGAATATTATTTTACATAAGTTCATATACTTTAACATTTACATGAAATTATATAATTGGCATAATGTGAATTATAGAACATAGTTCTGTCTTTGCAGATTAGTTACCTCCTCTCTGATGTTGTGATTTTGTAATGTTGTGATGCAGTCGTTCTATTTATAGTGACTCCTTTGCTTTGTATTCATGAACATTTGTTTATCCTATTAAGGACAGGAATTGAACTGAAAACAAAATAAGGTGTTAGGGATGTCAGACATTATATTTTTACTAAATTCCAGACATACCGCAAAAACTGGCGAATCAAGATTTTCAATACCAATCATATTTAATAGAATTATTTGTTGTAAAAGTTTGTTTTTGACGATTTGGGTAGACCGATGTTTTTTTTTCCTTCTATGCCAAAACAATTCTTGAAAATGGTCCGCATCTTCATTTGAAGTAGGCAAACAAATGACTTTTACCACATGACGATGTATTTGTTTATATTTCTCTCTCACATCTCATTTCTGTAAATATAATCCTCGGATTCAATTATATATCAAATTCATCATTTTTGACTGTGTGAATTCACTCAAAGTGCCAAATTTTGTAGTATAGTAAAAAATCATTTAACATATTACGTGGCCTTTAGATTTGAAATTGTTTCGTAACAGTTTGCATATGTTTCAAGAAATATTTATGTTTAAATGTTTAAATTTTGTTATCGTTTTTGAAAAGCATGTCTTAAAGATCGACAAAAATCAAGAATCATTTTGTTGCTGTTTTTCAAACGGTCATACAAATCATATTGATGAAAAAATAAATCATATTCACAATATATTTTTTCTAGGGGGGGGGGGTTAACGGGGTTGTTCCACATCTGCGGTAACTGTTTTTATTTGCTTTGCTCTCTTTTGCATGGCGTACATTAGCGCTATTTCTTCCAATGATATAAATAATCATTTTGTGGTGAGGGTCGTATGCATCTAAAGGATGAAAATCGAGCATCTAAAGATTGTCGGCAAAGGAATAACTCAGGTAATTTGGCACGTTTTGTGTTTAAGCTCTTACAAACAAACAAATACTTTTTAAATTCAGCTAATGCACATTTATGAAGGAAGGTGTTTGCTTTGTATGGTGAAAATAATTTCGCGTGAAAATAAGATCTATGAAAGCAGAATCAGCGTTCTGAATGGTTTTAATGAATTTTTCATGTGGGTTGCTCAACGTCTGCAGTATTAAAGAATACAACGGAAATAAGTTGACGCATTGATGTTACGTTTTTTAATTTTGAACAAAATATCATTAGATGATTTTTTTGATTTTGTGTTGTTAATGCTTTAAATTTGTTTCGAATTTATATGTTTTAATAAGGCGTTATATTGGTATTAGTTATCTCAGTTCAAAAGTGTATTTCATCTTTCTTCGAAAAATGAATGCCTGATAACTAAGTTATAAAAAGGTTACAGAGCATTGGTAATATAAATAATGTTTAAAATATTGTTACAAATAATTTTCTCGGATTTTTGGTGAAGAAAACTATACCTTCATTTGTTTCCATCTTTAAAGGCATGTTTTGATTCTTGCAATTCGTTTAAAGTTTTCATTGTGCAGATGACGTTAATAAAATAGCTTTAAGAATCAAAGAAGATTGATTGTATTTGAACTATTTATACCCGCGTCTTTGATCATTAGATTTCGAGTGCCATTTAATTAGGCATTTGGATAGTTTGCCACTTCTCAAAGAATCTGATTGTTACGATTATTATTTCTGAATAGCATTGAACAGTTGAACACGTCATTTATTCTCTTATTTCCACAATGAAATCAGCAAGGAAGTATATTAATACAAATGTACATATATCAACACATGGATAGTAATTTGTATCAATAGTTGTCAACAATTTTGTTCACTTCTAGAAAGACTAGAAAGTTGTTTTCAAAATGCATGGTTTGGGTTTTCCACACTCATTCTGCAAAGGGCCATTTTTTTAAAGATCCATGTATCACGAAAAAAATGTGTATCTTATTTTCTGTATAACCAATTTATTTCTATTGTAAAGTGATGAATTTGAATACCATAAAACGTGCAACTACAAAATAAAATGATAACACAATTTTACGTTGTTTAAGTTGTTTTTTTCCTAATTGAGAACATAGTATTGGACAATGCAGGTCATTCTTGTTAAATGAAAGCATCTTCCTAAATCAGATATTGTGCTAATTTTGTGTGGAAAGATTGATGAATGGGTGGTTAGCTTATTTTGTTTTAGATTTTGAGAGATGGGTTGAGAGGGAAAGAGTGTGGGTTCAGCGATTTGAATAAACGTGAAATTTTCTCTCTGACTCTCTCTCTCTGACTCTCTCTCTCTCTCTCTCTCTCTCACTCTCTCTATCTTTTTCACTTGTCCGTCTACATATTTTGCCCCGTCTTTGTCTTTCTCTTCGATATTAATTTTTCCTTATTTAGAAACCTTGCGCTTTAAAATGTTATATTTGAGAACATTTTAGAGAAAGGAAGGTAGATAGGGGAGGGAAGAAGACTGAGAGAGAGAGAGAGAAAGAGAGGGAGAGAGAGAGAGAAATGATAGAGAGAGTGGGAAGGAGGAAGACTGAGAAAGAGAGAAAGAGAGAGAGAGAGAGGGAGAGAGAGAAAAAAAAGATAGAGAGAGGGGGAGGGAGGAAGACTGAGAGAGAGAGAAAGAGAGAGAGAGAGGAAGAGAGAGAGAGAAAAGATAGAGAGAGGGGGAGAGGGAGAGAGAGAGAGAGAAAGAGAGAGATAGAGACAGGAGAGATAGAGGGAGAGAAAGAGAAAGAGGGTAAGACAGAAAGAGAGAGAGCGCGCTTAAAAGTAATTATTTAAAGGCTATTCATCGGTAATGTCAACTTTCCTGACTAATGATATTGTATTTTAATATCGGAATTTTACTTTGAGTAAAAGTTTGAAAAAAGAAAATGGAAAGAGAGTAAAGAGAGAGAAAGACAGTAGAAAGGAGAGAAAAAATAAAACTATATCCGGATAAAAATCTATGAAGAAAAGACTATGGTGGAGAGGTAAATAGACTTTTTTACCAAGTAATTATTTGAATCAATGAAATATAATATTCACTCCTTTTTTTCATAGCTAAAAGGCTTCGGTTCGATTGAACTTATGAAATACAAGCTTTGCTTCTCAATTAGTTCCCTATATTTCTTATTAGTCTTTCTCTAGTTTTACATTTCTATCATTGTCTTATAATGTATTATCTTGTTAAATCCTATGCATGTGACAACCTTATTGTGTGACACATGAAACAATCAAACAATCCAGTAAACGGTAACAAGTTGAGGCTTTTCTTTACTGTCATTCTTTTATTTCTGTTTCTTTTATGTCTCTTTCTTTTCTTTCATCTCTTTCAATTTATTTCAACAGAAGAGCAAGATATCTTTGAAGCATCTGTTACTACTAAACAATCCCCAAATCTCTACCCACTTTTGAGAGAGAAAGTTCAACATACGTATGTGATATGTAGAAATGAGTTTGATTGTTTTCTTTATCTCTCATCCAATATTGTATAGTCTAATTTATCTCACAATCACCTTAGTTTGAAGGAGATTAATTAATTTGTTTTGATTATCACCTCAAGCAATTAACGAAGGAATTCGTGCCTAACAAACCCAGGTGAGAAACGACCTTCTCTGTTTCCTTTAACTCAAAGCAACCGCTATCCATTAAAGTGACAACCTGTTATCTTTCTTTCTTTCTTTGTCATTCCTCTGGGGGGGGGGGGGGGAGTTTGATGGGGTTGAAATTGCTATATTGTTTAAGCGTCACATTAATGCGAATTTTCGCTAAGGATTTGATCGATTTGCTCACGTCGGGGTGTATGCACCTCATAACTGGCATAATGCGAGCTGTGTAATTAATTCTGTTGTACTGTCCAAGTCGATCAATATGAAAGTCTTTCTTCCCTTCGCGTACTTGGTTAGAGGCATTATGGACCACCATGAAAAGGTATATAACCCTATCCAGGGGCCGTAAGTTTTGAAAATTTAGTTCAACATGTTTCTTTTTAGGAGAGTTGGTCAAATTGATTTGCGATGAAGCGTTTATATTCATGAAATTTGATTTAATTCAAAGTATGATCATAGTACCGACATTGGTTGCATTATTAACTTTCTTTGAGGGTCATGGTAAGGCATGAGCAAGGCCCCCAACTTTTCTCCAAATGTCTGTGAATTGAGTTGATAGATTGCGAAATAATGCAAGATACGACGATTTTTTTTTTTTTACATTTGAATGGATTATTAACCCTAAAAGGGCCGGGCTATTTGAGGTCTTAATACGGACGGGGAGGGGGGGCGGCATTATGGGCCCCTAAATATCGGCCTATATAGGAAGGTACAATTAATGTGGAAATTAGCATGGTGATAGATTGAAGTATATTGAATAAGATGGTAATGTTTATTTTCTTTTGTGTTTATTTATTTATTTTTTATTGATATTTTTTATGATAATATGCAATTTTGGGGGGAATATACTTACACACGCACATTTGTGAGAATTACATATTTTGATACATATGTGATGATATTTTGTCACCTAACACCCGAACCATAGGTCCGCCCATACCAAATGTGGTATCAAAATGTACGGGAGACATGAGGGAATACACTCATGAATTTCAGCCCCAAAGGCTCAGGGGTTTTGATGCAGCGGCAAAAATTTGACAGGGGGGAGGGGGCATTATGGCCCCAGGCCTTATTAGGGTTTACCAAATGATAGATGATCAATGGAATATAACTTATATCCTGGTCAGGATTCTTTTTCGCATTTGTTACGGGAAGGCATTTTTTAGTGCACGGATTTATACGAAACTTTGTGAGGCTGCAGTGTGGTGCGTTTCAGCGTTGCGGCAGACAGAGATATAACGATGGCCAAGAAATTGAGATATCATGTTTGACACTAACATGCAGCAGAAATCTTGGACGATACATGAACTATTTGATACATACATGTATGGATGCGAAATGTAACAATATTATATTGTCTTTTTTAATATCACCTTTATTGTGCAAGAAACTACACAAAAATACAAAATAGTTTCTTCATTCTTTCTTGATAGTTACATTTTTATGA